CACTGCTGTTCTTGTAGTATATGTTACAATACAAATGATTTCAGGCTTCTACCTTATCAATATTTCTTGCTAGCAGGAAGTAGAAGATTGCATTAACAATGCTGCTGATACAGTGCAGCATATCATTCAGACAACTCCGTCAATCTTTCTACTGTTTACACTCAAACACACACACACACACACACACACACAAGAACATATATACATTATATTACTATCTTAAGAATGAATATGATACTGCCATTCACTATAATATACTCATATATGTACACAGGAAACTGGATCACAATCCTGCACTGGATTTTCCTATTCAATTCTTTTTGTGTTTTCATCATTGCCTTACTTACAGAATACACTTTCATGTACTTTTCAATCCATGCTTATTTTGAATCACATACCACATCTTAGGAGAAACAGGAAATTTGCTTCTGGGGATTGGCTGATTTCATTGAGTATGAGGTTCCCCAGGTTTTCCATGTTCTGGTGACAGGTCATTTGCTTTGAACTTATTTCCAGATAGACAGTCCCCGGTCTTGGAAACCTGCCCCTCTTTGGCATGTAGTGTCCATTATATTAAAACAATTTCTGATTTCACAAGTGTACAACTCCTCTTATGTAAATGTAGTCATGTCTTCTTTGGAACTCTTGCCACCAGGACACATAGGCCTCATACTAAGGCCTTCCTATGGTCTGTGTTCTTCTCTTGAAACACTGGAGTGGGAGAGTCCCATGAGAGATAGAAAAAATGTTAAGTGCTCACTTTTCCCTTACAAACCGTAGTGCTCCCCCCTGCCCCCCTGCCATACTTTCTGCTGCCCAAGCAGATCTTCTGGAAACCCCTGCCACAAGGAGTGTGGTTAGCTTTGACTCCCATGGTGATGGGGGTTGCCGTGTATGACCCAAACATGCATTTCTGTATTTCGGTCATTGTGTGTGATGTGTTTTCTCTTAGGAGGTCCATTTGGAGTGACCCAAGCTCCTGTTCATCCCTGAACTGCAGATACTGCTGACCATACATTAGTATCCATTCAAATGGGTACTGCATTCCTCCATGCCACAAAAGCCCTTTGTGTTTTGAACCTGAGAAAATTTCCTCAGTGCCTGTCATTGAAATCCCATAGGTTTAGAGGTTGCTGGGTGCTTTTTATACTTGCCCTTGAGAAGCAATGACCAGGACACAAGGCAGAAAGCCAGTGAGAGAAGTTTCTGTATAGATTACCCAGCCATCTCAGAGATTAATTGTGTTTCCTCAAACCAGAGGGACTCACACATAGGAGGATAGACATGCACATAGGCTGCATAGCTGTGCAGGACTGTAGCTCCCTTGTTTCAGTGATGGGGCTGCACACTGTTGTAGAGTTCGTCTGCAACAGGAACTCCCTGAATTATAGAGGGTCTATGCATGGGGATATAGCTTAGAAAGGGATTCCCCAGTATGCAGTGAAGGAAGTCAAGTTTGGGAATGGGTCTCCTTACATGTTATCATTGAAGGAAAGGAGAAGACTCTAATGAACGTCTTCCCATTCATTTTTTTTTTCATACCAACCAAATAGATATATTGAAACATTATTCCCATTTTACATAATTAAAAAGGTGTGAAATGTAATCTGTTCAACTTCAGAACAGGATATTTCTCATTTTCCCCATCTGTCTTCTTTTCTTCTGGTTCCTTCATCAATCGTTCTGCTATTTATATTCACACACACACACACACATACACACTGAAACGCACATACACACAGAAACACACGCACGCAGGCACTCGCGCGCGTGCGCGCACACACACACACACACACACATTTGTACATCTATAATAGTATCTTTAGAATGGACACCATAGTGGGATTCACTGTGGCACATATTCATGTAGGTACTCAGAAAATTTGGGCCAGGTTCATTTCACTCTCTTTTCCTATCCTATCCCTCTCGGGTCTTCATTATTTTTTTCCTGTGCTTTTCAATCCCTCCTCATTTTGAATCATCTTTCAGATATCAGGGGAAACACTAGAACTTAGGCCTCTGGGGACTGGCTGATTTCACTGAGCATGAGGTTCCCCAGTTCCATCCACTTAATGAGCTGATGCCATAATTTAATTCTTCTTTATCTGAGTAATATTCCTCTGTGTATATGTACCACATTTTCTTCATCCATCCACCTGCTGAAGGGCACCTAGGGCCCTTCCATAGCTTGGTTATTGTCCACGGTGCTACTAGAAACATTGAGCTGGGTGCCTCGCAGTGCTGACATTAGCAGAACTTTTGGATATGTGTACTGAGAAAGGAGGTAGCTGGGTCATATGGGGGTTTCATTTGTTCTTTATTAGGAAAGCACATAATGCTTTCTAGACTCATTTGCTTCTATTTGCAGTCCATCCCCAACCCCTGTCCAATCTGTGAGTGTACTTTTCCCAACCTCCTCGCCAACATTTGTTTTTCCATCCTTGTTTTGTGATAGTTGCCCTTTTGACTGATGTGAGATGAAGCCACAGGGTACTTTTGAATTTCACTTCCCTAACTGGTTGAGATGTTGAACGTTTTAAAAATACTTGTATTGTAAACATTTGTATTTGTTTTTGAGTATCGTCCCTCTGCCCATTTATTGATTAGGTTATCATAATTTTTTCTTTGGTGGTGGCAATGAATTTTCGTGTATTTTGAGTTGTCTTATGTGAGAGGCAGATGACAAAGATTATCTCTCATTATGGGGGCTCAGTCTTCATGATTGTGTTTCCTTTGATGTGAAGCATCTTTGAAATCTGATGACAATGCATGTTGTGGTTGTTTATCTTGCTTCTTTGCAATTGAGGAGACTTGTTTACTGGTCAGTCATTTCCTGTGCTGAAGTGTTAAAGTGTGGGCCTATATTTTCTTCCAGCAGATTTCAGGGTTTCTAGCCTAACTCCTAGGTCTCTGACCTAGTTGATATTTTGAGGTGATATTTTTGGAGGGTGAGAGATCAGGCTTACATTTAATCCTAGTACATATGGATTTCCAGTATTCCCATTTTTTGAAGAGCCTTTCTCCAGCCTACGTTTTGGCGGTTTTGTCTACTTATCAGATAATCATATCCTGTGTGTTTATCTTTGTGTCTTCTATTGTAGTCCCTTGGAACTCATGTCTGTTTTGGTGCCTGAAACCTGCTGTTTGATACTAGAGCTTTGTAGTAAAATGTAAGCATTGTGATGTCTCCAATCCACCCTTCATGCTACGGATTGCTTTGGGTACACTGGGCATCTTATTTTCCTAAATCAGTTTTGGGATTTTATGACCACATTTTCTTGTTTGGTAAAGTTTGTCATTGGGGTTTTGAAGTGAATTGCCTTGAATGTGTATGTTGAATTTGGTAGCAAGTTATTTTGACTGTACTAATTCTGCCTGAGAAGACATGAAATATTCCCTCTTCTAAGGTGACCATCAATTTGTTTCTTGACTGCACTATATTGTATACCTCTTCTGTTAGATGGATTCCTTTTTTTTTTTTTGTATTGTGAATGGAATTGTTTGAGATTGAAATGGATGAAATTCTTTGAGATTGAAATGGATGAAATTCTATGGTCAGAGGCTGGTGGAAATGCCCAGACTGCCTCATACCGTCCTTTCTGTCTTTCGGACTCCATGTCTCTCTTCTTCTTGAGCATCCCCTCTCCATCCAGTCTTGGATCTTTTGATCTCACTCAGACTTTTGGATCCTATCTCCAGAGGCTGGAAACCCAGCTTCCACCTTAGGTTATCCTGGAAGTGAGGCACTTGCTCTGTGGGCAGGGGCTTGGGAGGGTGGCAAAACCCGCTGCTAGCTCCCCACCCCTGAGCCAAAAGAAAGCTTCTCAGGAGCCAGCACAACACATGGGCCCAGTCTGTCTCATCTGCCTTCCAAGCTGCTTAGTCCTTGTTGGGCTGGAATGGATGAAGGGATTGAGGCAGGGCCTAAGAAGCATGGTGCATCTGTTTAGGTTTCCCACCCTCCATCCTGTGGGAGGCCCACATCCTCCAGGTGTTGACACCAACTCTGCCCTAAATGAAAGCCCCAAGACCTCTACCATTACTCTCCCAGTCCCCATAGGAAGGTGTTCCTTCACAGGGACAGCAATGAGTCCTTTAGGCAATGCTGCAGCATGCCAGGACACTTTTTATATGCAGGGGAAGGGAAGCCATAGTCTGAGTTACTGGAGCTAACTGTATGAACACCTACAGGGAGGGGTCTTTGGAAAGGGTCAAGCTGCTGGAGTAACCTGGACTCATCTGCAAGGAGGCAAAGGTTGGGTTGGCTGCCCAGGTGGATTTCCTCCACTGACATGCTTGCTGTGACTCACCTCCAGCACCTTGGCCGGGGCAATCCCACTGTGTCTGCCTCCATGGGGTCTATGGTCCATGGAGATGAGGTCATCCAAGGGCATCTGGCTTGATATTAGGAGATGCATTGTGTTTTGCGGGGCTGCACACCTGCTGCCTGCCTGGTATCCATCACCCCCGGACCCTAAACAAGAGACTGACATCACAGGTAGGGACCAGGGGCCCCAAGTAGCCAGAGCTGACAGGCCTGGAGCCCAAAGGGCCAGGTTGATTTGGCCACGCCCCTCGTGCATTTTGGGGGCGGTGAATGCAGAGGGTGGGGCATTCCACAGGCCCTGTGGCTGCTTCATGCTCACGGCCACTTCCTGCTGGCCAGGCAGCTGATGTCACAGAGACACGCGCATGCGCTTCAACAAAACTCCGCCTTCTTGCTGAACGCAGCCTCTTGGCTTCCCTGAGGCCTAGAAGCATTGGTCGGGCTCTAAGCAGGCGGGTGTGGGTCTTCCTGTGGGATCTGCTTCTCAGCTGGCCTTGGTGAAAAGCGATCACAATGGCCAGACGAGGAGAAGTGGAGGAGAGCCAGGTGAGTTTTCAATGGGGGCCTTCAGGATGGAGCCTCCTGTGGGCTGCTGGGGGCGGCGACCTCACTCACCTCCAGCACCTTGGCCTGGACAGTCTGTGGGGTGATTGGTGGCAGCGATGAGGGTAACATGCTGGGCAATTTGGAGTCTCTGCAGCACCCTAAGGCCTGGAGCTGTCCTGAAGGGGTGGTAGTGGGAGGGCAGACTGGAAAGCTGCTGTCTGAGATGGGGAAGCTGAGGGGGGTTACCGCCCAGGAGCAGCACCCAAGGGAGCACGAAGGTGAGGAAGATGCCCAGGTGCAGCTGGTGCAGAGGAGGCTGCCCAAGGCAGGACGCAGACCACCCAGACTGCGGTCAAAAATGGACAAGCTGCAAATCCTGCAGTTGGAGCTCAGCTTTGTGAATGCCCGAGCCAGCCGGGCCTGTGCAAGGCTGAAGAGGAAGGTGGAAATGGGGTGCAAATCACACTTGGATCGCAGAAGGGCCATCATCCAGCGCATCCCTGGCTTCTGGGCCAAAGTGGTATCCTTTGCTGTGTGCCGTCAAGCTGAGCTCCAACACATTGGACTGGCTTTATAGGACTTTGAGGAGTTGGAGTGGGGAAGACTGGGAGTAGGGGAAGTAGTGGCATTCACCCTGGGTCCCTAAGCTTAAGGCAGGTTCTGACAAAGTGTCCCTGAGAATTAAGAGCAGACACTTTGGATGGCAAGGGAGCCCAAACAGCAGGGCTTGAATATTGTTGGAGGCTGGGAGCCACAGCTGCATCCCACCAGGAATGGAGAGAAGAGCACATTGACAGGGCACCTTGTCCAGTTCCATGCCCACTTCCAAGGTCACTCTAACCATGCAATCTTGCCAACCTGTGACATGCAATGTGGGCAGGCTCCTATCCAAGGATAGGCTGGAAAATTGCATCTTATCAGTTCACTGATGGTGTTCACAGCCTGAAATGAGACGCACTCCCCCAGGCCCCCATCCACATACAAACACACAGATATGGTGACACAGGACACACATACCCAAGTTCAGTAAGGCTATGAACACCTAGCGATGGACAGCATGCCCAAACGTCAGTAATCTCTGTCCATCCCAAGGTGGCCAGGGTGATGTCATTTACCCTGGGGACAGAGCAGATGGTGTCATCAGGTTCTCACACACCAGGCAGGCCTGGGAGACCTGGGCAGGGCAGAGGATGAGAGTGGATAAGCCAGGGTATCTTGCTGGCAGGGAAGGGCACAGTGCTGTGTTGTGTAGGGATCCCCTGTCCCACACACCCCTTGCTTCCCTGGTGGGCCCCCTGTGCTATTGCCTGCTCCTTCCATGGCACCACATATGTCCTTGACGCCTGGCAGATGATGTACCACCCCCAGGTTTCCGTCATCCTCAGTTGGGCAGATAAAGACCTGCTGAGCTATTTGAGGAATTTAGAGGTGAACTGGGGAGTAAGACTGGGGACAGGGTGTGGGGAGGCCCGAGAAGGAAAGCTGGGAGGGCAGCCCATGCAAGCTAGCTCACAGACTCGCCCTGCACAGCCACCCAACCACACCATCCCTTGTCTTTGCCTGAGGCCTGGCAGGTGGAGGAACTCAGGTATCCCAAGTCCCTCTACAGGATCAAGTTCTCCTTTCAAGAAAACCCCTACTTCCAGAATGAAGTGGTCGTGAAGGAGTATCAGCTGAACATCACTGGTAAAGTAAACGTCTCCCAGACACTGGGGTCTTTCATATCAGTGTGCTGGTTGGACAGAATCGGATATGTGCTGAACTGTTCCAACTCCTCCAGGGTATGAGGCATCCTGTTCCAGTGTGCTGCAGTGGCTCGTGGATGGGGATGCACTGGTGCACAGCCCCTTGCAGGACTCCAGCAGGCTGACCTTCTTCAGCTGGTTGTCAGGGCACAAGTGTGCTGACTCTAACAGGATTGCTGAGGTGGGGATCCATAGGCCACAAAACCAGTGACTTGGTGAGTCCATGTGCTGCTGGGGAACTGGGTATGTTAGCCTGGACAGACTTGTCTGTTTTCTCTTTGCAGGTCATCATCGAGGATCTGTGGGTCAATCCTCTAGACTACTGCCAGGTGGAATGCAGCACCAGGGCAGAGGATGCTGGCCTGGCAAGGTGAGCCTCCTGGGTGAGTTTGACACGCCCCGTTCCTCTGCCACCTGAGGCAGCCCAGAAAACCTGAGGCTTCCGCTCTTCTAGGCACTAGGAGGAACAAAAACCAGAGGAGAGTGCACAGCAAGAGTGTTTGTTGAACTGGGCAACCTCCTTGGGGTGAAGTGAAGAAGGTGAATGTCCTGGGACCTGGGAAAGAGGCTGAGCCTAAGATTACTGAAGCCCCTAGGAATGCTCCTTCCTGGCCTTCTGCCCTTATCCATGCCCCTGGTTTGTTCACTTGCCCAGATGCTGTCCTACACATGTGCATAAGGCATTTCACGTCTGTCTAACTATTTTCTATGTAGTCCCCACCCCTGTGCTTGCATTTTTGGGACACCTTAAAAATCCCAACCAAGGTGTCCAGTGAACTTCTCAGTGTCAGGGAAAGTATACAGTGGCCTCAGTGTAGTGGGACTGTAGTGGGACTTCCCACATGCCCGGGTTGAGGAAGGTGAGGATGTCCATCCCTGGACAGGGATGGTGAGCCCTCAGGGAGGTGAACCTGGTTGTGTGAGGTGAACCTGGTTGTGTGATAATGGACAGAGGTCCCCATCTCATTCATGCATGCCCTGTGCACATCTGTACGAGCCAAGTGCCTGCCTCTCTTTGTTCAAGCGTGTTTGCTTATGTGCATGCTCCTGTCCTTATTCCTGCAGGAACCTCGGCCTGCTACACGACCAGACCCAGTCTCCATGTTTGGGTACATGCCAGCAGGGCCCATGAAGCGAAGTACAGCAAAAGATGACATGGTTCACCTGTGTCTTCATGAAGCATGAGCCCACTGGAAGAACCCGCCCTGGTGGACTACTGCCCTGGTCAAAAGTTTAAACAAAGGGTTCTGTGTATTAGCATTGCCAATGAGGGCTAAAATAAAAGTGGGGCACTCTTGTGAATTGTTTTGTGCTTATGAGGGGTTGGGGCAGATTTGGAGCCATCCCAGGGAGTATATTTAGAATTTTTGAAACATGTTTTCAAACTAGGCCTTTGAAGTACTTCTTTTCACTGATGTTGCAGTAAAGCAGTGAATCTAGTTTCTACCCGAACAGGTTTCCTTGCAGAATTCCAGGTGCATTCGGGACCTTTAGTTGGACAAGCCATCTGCATGTGAGACAGGATCCGTGACAGTGACAGGCAAGCCCCATGTAGGTGTCATTTATTCACTAGGTGGCTTAAGTCCCAGGTTTTCCATGTTCTGGTGACAGGTCATTTGCTTTGAACTTATTTCCAGATAGACAGTCCCCGGTCTTGGAAACCTGCCCCTCTTTGGCATGTAGTGTCCATTATATTAAAACAATTTCTGATTTCACAAGTGTACAACTCCTCTTATGTAAATGTAGTCATGTCTTCTTTGGAACTCTTGCCACCAGGACACATAGGCCTCATACTAAGGCCTTCCTATGGTCTGTGTTCTTCTCTTGAAACACTGGAGTGGGAGAGTCCCATGAGAGATAGAAAAAATGTTAAGTGCTCACTTTTCCCTTACAAACCGTAGTGCTCCCCCCTGCCCCCCTGCCATACTTTCTGCTGCCCAAGCAGATCTTCTGGAAACCCCTGCCACAAGGAGTGTGGTTAGCTTTGACTCCCATGGTGATGGGGGTTGCCGTGTATGACCCAAACATGCATTTCTGTATTTCGGTCATTGTGTGTGATGTGTTTTCTCTTAGGAGGTCCATTTGGAGTGACCCAAGCTCCTGTTCATCCCTGAACTGCAGATACTGCTGACCATACATTAGTATCCATTCAAATGGGTACTGCATTCCTCCATGCCACAAAAGCCCTTTGTGTTTTGAACCTGAGAAAATTTCCTCAGTGCCTGTCATTGAAATCCCATAGGTTTAGAGGTTGCTGGGTGCTTTTTATACTTGCCCTTGAGAAGCAATGACCAGGACACAAGGCAGAAAGCCAGTGAGAGAAGTTTCTGTATAGATTACCCAGCCATCTCAGAGATTAATTGTGTTTCCTCAAACCAGAGGGACTCACACATAGGAGGATAGACATGCACATAGGCTGCATAGCTGTGCAGGACTGTAGCTCCCTTGTTTCAGTGATGGGGCTGCACACTGTTGTAGAGTTCGTCTGCAACAGGAACTCCCTGAATTATAGAGGGTCTATGCATGGGGATATAGCTTAGAAAGGGATTCCCCAGTATGCAGTGAAGGAAGTCAAGTTTGGGAATGGGTCTCCTTACATGTTATCATTGAAGGAAAGGAGAAGACTCTAATGAACGTCTTCCCATTCATTTTTTTTTTCATACCAACCAAATAGATATATTGAAACATTATTCCCATTTTACATAATTAAAAAGGTGTGAAATGTAATCTGTTCAACTTCAGAACAGGATATTTCTCATTTTCCCCATCTGTCTTCTTTTCTTCTGGTTCCTTCATCAATCGTTCTGCTATTTATATTCACACACACACACACACATACACACTGAAACGCACATACACACAGAAACACACGCACGCAGGCACTCGCGCGCGTGCGCGCACACACACACACACACACACATTTGTACATCTATAATAGTATCTTTAGAATGGACACCATAGTGGGATTCACTGTGGCACATATTCATGTAGGTACTCAGAAAATTTGGGCCAGGTTCATTTCACTCTCTTTTCCTATCCTATCCCTCTCGGGTCTTCATTATTTTTTTCCTGTGCTTTTCAATCCCTCCTCATTTTGAATCATCTTTCAGATATCAGGGGAAACACTAGAACTTAGGCCTCTGGGGACTGGCTGATTTCACTGAGCATGAGGTTCCCCAGTTCCATCCACTTAATGAGCTGATGCCATAATTTAATTCTTCTTTATCTGAGTAATATTCCTCTGTGTATATGTACCACATTTTCTTCATCCATCCACCTGCTGAAGGGCACCTAGGGCCCTTCCATAGCTTGGTTATTGTCCACGGTGCTACTAGAAACATTGAGCTGGGTGCCTCGCAGTGCTGACATTAGCAGAACTTTTGGATATGTGTACTGAGAAAGGAGGTAGCTGGGTCATATGGGGGTTTCATTTGTTCTTTATTAGGAAAGCACATAATGCTTTCTAGACTCATTTGCTTCTATTTGCAGTCCATCCCCAACCCCTGTCCAATCTGTGAGTGTACTTTTCCCAACCTCCTCGCCAACATTTGTTTTTCCATCCTTGTTTTGTGATAGTTGCCCTTTTGACTGATGTGAGATGAAGCCACAGGGTACTTTTGAATTTCACTTCCCTAACTGGTTGAGATGTTGAACGTTTTAAAAATACTTGTATTGTAAACATTTGTATTTGTTTTTGAGTATCGTCCCTCTGCCCATTTATTGATTAGGTTATCATAATTTTTTCTTTGGTGGTGGCAATGAATTTTCGTGTATTTTGAGTTGTCTTATGTGAGAGGCAGATGACAAAGATTATCTCTCATTATGGGGGCTCAGTCTTCATGATTGTGTTTCCTTTGATGTGAAGCATCTTTGAAATCTGATGACAATGCATGTTGTGGTTGTTTATCTTGCTTCTTTGCAATTGAGGAGACTTGTTTACTGGTCAGTCATTTCCTGTGCTGAAGTGTTAAAGTGTGGGCCTATATTTTCTTCCAGCAGATTTCAGGGTTTCTAGCCTAACTCCTAGGTCTCTGACCTAGTTGATATTTTGAGGTGATATTTTTGGAGGGTGAGAGATCAGGCTTACATTTAATCCTAGTACATATGGATTTCCAGTATTCCCATTTTTTGAAGAGCCTTTCTCCAGCCTACGTTTTGGCGGTTTTGTCTACTTATCAGATAATCATATCCTGTGTGTTTATCTTTGTGTCTTCTATTGTAGTCCCTTGGAACTCATGTCTGTTTTGGTGCCTGAAACCTGCTGTTTGATACTAGAGCTTTGTAGTAAAATGTAAGCATTGTGATGTCTCCAATCCACCCTTCATGCTACGGATTGCTTTGGGTACACTGGGCATCTTATTTTCCTAAATCAGTTTTGGGATTTTATGACCACATTTTCTTGTTTGGTAAAGTTTGTCATTGGGGTTTTGAAGTGAATTGCCTTGAATGTGTATGTTGAATTTGGTAGCAAGTTATTTTGACTGTACTAATTCTGCCTGAGAAGACATGAAATATTCCCTCTTCTAAGGTGACCATCAATTTGTTTCTTGACTGCACTATATTGTATACCTCTTCTGTTAGATGGATTCCTTTTTTTTTTTTTGTATTGTGAATGGAATTGTTTGAGATTGAAATGGATGAAATTCTTTGAGATTGAAATGGATGAAATTCTATGGTCAGAGGCTGGTGGAAATGCCCAGACTGCCTCATACCGTCCTTTCTGTCTTTCGGACTCCATGTCTCTCTTCTTCTTGAGCATCCCCTCTCCATCCAGTCTTGGATCTTTTGATCTCACTCAGACTTTTGGATCCTATCTCCAGAGGCTGGAAACCCAGCTTCCACCTTAGGTTATCCTGGAAGTGAGGCACTTGCTCTGTGGGCAGGGGCTTGGGAGGGTGGCAAAACCCGCTGCTAGCTCCCCACCCCTGAGCCAAAAGAAAGCTTCTCAGGAGCCAGCACAACACATGGGCCCAGTCTGTCTCATCTGCCTTCCAAGCTGCTTAGTCCTTGTTGGGCTGGAATGGATGAAGGGATTGAGGCAGGGCCTAAGAAGCATGGTGCATCTGTTTAGGTTTCCCACCCTCCATCCTGTGGGAGGCCCACATCCTCCAGGTGTTGACACCAACTCTGCCCTAAATGAAAGCCCCAAGACCTCTACCATTACTCTCCCAGTCCCCATAGGAAGGTGTTCCTTCACAGGGACAGCAATGAGTCCTTTAGGCAATGCTGCAGCATGCCAGGACACTTTTTATATGCAGGGGAAGGGAAGCCATAGTCTGAGTTACTGGAGCTAACTGTATGAACACCTACAGGGAGGGGTCTTTGGAAAGGGTCAAGCTGCTGGAGTAACCTGGACTCATCTGCAAGGAGGCAAAGGTTGGGTTGGCTGCCCAGGTGGATTTCCTCCACTGACATGCTTGCTGTGACTCACCTCCAGCACCTTGGCCGGGGCAATCCCACTGTGTCTGCCTCCATGGGGTCTATGGTCCATGGAGATGAGGTCATCCAAGGGCATCTGGCTTGATATTAGGAGATGCATTGTGTTTTGCGGGGCTGCACACCTGCTGCCTGCCTGGTATCCATCACCCCCGGACCCTAAACAAGAGACTGACATCACAGGTAGGGACCAGGGGCCCCAAGTAGCCAGAGCTGACAGGCCTGGAGCCCAAAGGGCCAGGTTGATTTGGCCACGCCCCTCGTGCATTTTGGGGGCGGTGAATGCAGAGGGTGGGGCATTCCACAGGCCCTGTGGCTGCTTCATGCTCACGGCCACTTCCTGCTGGCCAGGCAGCTGATGTCACAGAGACACGCGCATGCGCTTCAACAAAACTCCGCCTTCTTGCTGAACGCAGCCTCTTGGCTTCCCTGAGGCCTAGAAGCATTGGTCGGGCTCTAAGCAGGCGGGTGTGGGTCTTCCTGTGGGATCTGCTTCTCAGCTGGCCTTGGTGAAAAGCGATCACAATGGCCAGACGAGGAGAAGTGGAGGAGAGCCAGGTGAGTTTTCAATGGGGGCCTTCAGGATGGAGCCTCCTGTGGGCTGCTGGGGGCGGCGACCTCACTCACCTCCAGCACCTTGGCCTGGACAGTCTGTGGGGTGATTGGTGGCAGCGATGAGGGTAACATGCTGGGCAATTTGGAGTCTCTGCAGCACCCTAAGGCCTGGAGCTGTCCTGAAGGGGTGGTAG